CTCTCTCTCTCTCTCTCTCTCTCTCTCTCTCTCTCTCTCTCTCTCTCTCTCTCTCTCTCTCTCTCTCTCTCTCTCTCTGTGTGTGTGTGTTTGTCTAGTCTCTCTTGTCTCTCCACTGCATGCTCACTGGCTATGGCCACAAGCCTCCTTTACCTAGTTCTCCACTGCACGACCATTGGCTATGGCTAAAGGCATCCTTAGCCCGTCCTGGGGAACTACTGTTGTAGCATACGCACCTCAGACAGACACCAATTGAACGAGAACGGGGGTTCAGTTCGCTGTTGTAGCCACCGGCTAGCTACCATGCGGCACACGCCGCACAAAGAGAGAGAGCAAGGGGGCAAGAGCGTAGGTGACGCATCCAGCAGGCGGCACATAGCTCGTTAGTTCAGCCGCGCCCTTGACACCTGACAGACTATCTAGCCAAGTCTGCCCAAGCACTGTTGGAGTTCCGAAATCCCAACGAGACTCTGAGGACACTCCCCACTGCACGAGACTCCGTGGAAATTCCACTGCAGCTCACCAAGAGCACTATGACATAAACCAACATCGGACAACAACTTGCAAAGCCTCCAGAAAAAAGTGGTTCTAAAGCAGGGGTACGAGGTTCTTAACCTGTGAATTGAGTTTGGTTGCAGCAGGGTTCTTTCTCTTTTTCTAACAACAAATTATGATCTTTTCTAGCATTCTTTCCTATCATGGATGTTTGTGTCAGTGCTTGTTTTGGAAGCAACCTGAGAAGACGCCTGAAGCTGATCAGCCCTGATGGTGGTCTGATTGGTGCACCACCACCAGGAGGAACAAGTTAGAGATTCTATTGGAATATTTGTTTTCCCCTTTTTGTTTCCCTGATGGTTGAGCTTGGGCCAGCCTTCTTTTTCCAGGACTTAACTGAATTTCCACTTGCAAGTATTGAGTCTGGGATCCCATATTTTGGGTTGCCATTGCAAGCAGGCAAAGCAAATACATGTAATCTGCGCCATTTTCTGGACTTAGAGTCTAAACAGAACAAACGAGGGATACCTTTCTCGGCCTTTTGGCTAAGATCAAGTGTAGTATCTGTTCTGATCTGATCAGTTTAATATCTGATCCGTGGTCCATCGGACCACACGATATTAAAAAAAAAAAAAACAAAAAAAAAACAGACCAGTTATAGAGGAAGGTTGACTCAGGAGATCCAGTGGGACTCTCTGGGATGTGTTTGACCTTGGTAAGCGCGAGATTCAGTCAGAAACGCCCCAGTGTGAGGGCGTCAGCGCCACACCACTCCCGAATCGAAGAAAATTTTCGGGAGCGCTCCCGAGTGTTGAAACTCATGGGAACCCGTTCGGGAGTGGCCTTAACCACACTCGGCTCTCCAACAGGGCGCTCCTGTATTCAGACGCCGCATGCCGACACCAGCAGTCTGGCAAAAACGTTTGTCCTTCACGGTAGACTCAGGACTTTCAAGACCGAACTCGAACGTCCGCAAGAGGTCTCTCGAAAATGGAATTCTGCAGGCGGGAGGACAATCTTGGGCATGGAAATCTGACAGCTTCTGAATTCAATCTGACACATTGAATCTGGGAGCTGGTGTGGCGACGCGCACTCCTGGAGTGCCCATTTCCAGGAGTGGTGTGGCGAGGCCCTGAGTATGGCCTCCTAACCGCCACGCGAGAGGCAGGAAAGAAAAGAGTAGTCATTATAAAGCGCCGCCAGTGGCATGCAGGAGAGTTCCGAGACCACCCCCACAGGCACCCTCAGCAGGAGCAGTCGGACCAAGGAGGTTGGAACAGAGGTTGGAACAGAGGTTGGAACAGAGGTTGGAACAGAGGTTGGGACAGAGATTGGAACAGGTTGGAACAGAGGTGGGAACAGAGGTGGGAACAGAGGTGGGAACAGAGGTGGGAACAGAGGTGGGAACAGAGGTGGGAACTGAGGTGGGAACAGAGGTTGGAACAGAGACTGAAAACAGAGGTTGGAGGAGGGACTGAAAGAGAAGTTGGAACAGAGGTTGGAACCGGGGTTGGAACCGAGGTTGAAACGGAGGTTGAAACGGAGGTTGGAACAGAGACTGAAAAAGAGACTGAAAAAGAGACTGAAACTGAGGTGGGAACAGAGACTGAAACAGAGGTTGGAACAGAGCATGGAACTGAGGTAGAACGGAGGTTTGGGAAACGAGGTTGGAGCACAGGCTGTAACAGGCAGACAGGTTCAGAGGTAAGCTGGAACAGTTTCTGGAACTCCTTTACAGGTGCTGTCGGTAGGTGTAGAGAGATCCTGCAGCTTTGGCATAGGCATGTGCAGTGGGACTCTGGGAGAGAACCAGTTCCTGGTGCTTTTCTCTACAAGTGGCTTTAGTGGCAGTCATGACAGTTGTACACCATACAGGACATTTGATGTAGAGGTTCTATGTAGCTATCAATTGACATCTAGGGCCCGTGGGGGGAAGAACTGTGAAACGGTATTCACCAGTTCGCAGTAGCCGATGCAGATCCCAGGGCTCGATCCCTAGTCCCCACCTTACCTGTGTACAGTACCTGTGCCGACCCCGAGAGTTGAACCCGTGACCTGTGTATTCGGAACAGTTGGTAGACTGTCATCGGGTCCGTAGGTAGCAGGGGTTCGATCTGTAGGCCTGTCGAGTAGGAGTCTTAGTCAGGTCTAGAAGTCGTAGCTGTAGATTTCCCGAAGGGTCAAGGTCGTAGCTGCTACAGTCCAGAAAGGTCAAGGTCGTAGCTGCTACAGTACCGAAAGGCCAAGTCTACGGCCTTCCGGAAGGTCCGAGTAGTGGCCTTTCGAAGTGGCCCACGTTTAAACTGAGGCAAGTGGGCAAGTGGTGGAGTCTACCTCTGCTGAGTCAGCAGTCCCAGTCCCAGTCAGTCCTAGTCCAGTCAAGCAAGTACCGCATGGGACTGTGTGCACTACGGGCATGGGAAAGGGCCAGACCAACGAGCTGCAGAAGTATAAATCAAGAGGCAGCGCCCAGCCATTCATTCATTCCTGCGCGAGCCATGTGGAAGCGCTGCCACAGCGACTTGTGCTAGGTGGTCTGCAGTGAGCCTGAAGACGAAGTGGGCAAGAGAGAAGGAGCGTAGCCATAGCGATAGGGTAGCAGCGGCCATAGCCGCCATAGCTGTAGATAGTGTTCAGTGTGTGTGTGTGTGTGTGTGTGTGTGTGTACAGAGTATCGCGTGTGGGATATCCAGGGTGATCCTGTGTGTGCGAACAGAGAGTTGTGTGGGCGCTTAGTCACCATAGCCATTGAAGTGAACTTGTACCTGAGCTGTGTACTTGACTACCATATCTCTGAGTTTTGAGTGGGCGCTTGTCGCCAGTTTGCTGCGCATTTGTTTGCATGCATGTAAGGTGTGAATGAAAGCGAGTCTGATTGCAACTGACTGATGGCTTTATTGCTGACACCTGATACAATCCCCAGAGGTTCCACATTGGGACCCATTTACATCTGTGGTTTCTGGCATCGAGCCCTTTGTCAATCTGACACCATAGATAGGGACTGGGTTTCAGTACGAAAGCGCGAAAAAGCTTGGCCTTTGGGAGGACTTTGCTTGTTTTGCTGAAGCATGAGGCTAAATAGTGGCTGTGCACAGCATAGAAAGGAGAACGGTATGGGCTCACAGTAGCAGATTAAGCAGCAGAGGGGACAGGTGAGCATTGGATAGAGATCAGTTTTCTTATAGCAGAGGACACTATTATGTTGCTGCCACTGCTGCGGGGAAAAAAGAAAGAAGAAAAAAAAAAGGTGTCGGAACAGAAGATCTGCAGTGTGGGACTGCAGTCTCACAGCATTAAAAAAACTGGTAAGTCGTTCGCACGAGGGCAATTTCCTAAGCGGGCGATCATGATTACCTACAACAGGCCTTCTCATTTTTTAGGCCTTCTCATTTTTTTCTTAGGTTGGAAGATCTTGATGGCAATGGCAGCCAGCTGATGATTCCTGAAAACTTTGGTCTACGTCTGAATAGCGAGCGCTTGTGCCAACGTAGAAAAATATTGTCTAGTCGTCTCGTTGTGGTAAAAGAGAAAAGGCGAACGTCTTGTGGGGACAATTGATATTTTATTGTTTTCAGTATTCTTCCCCTAGGTTGCCAGGTCCACCCAGCCCAGGCCAGAGGGGACGGCTCCACCCGACCAATCCAGGTGGGCCAAAAAGAGCCCGAGAAGGCAAGATTGCAGAATTGCGGGAAGACCGGCTTTGCTGGAAGGAATGGCATAACTCACTCCAGGAAAGAGCCTCTCAACAACAAGCGACTTCTGCAGAAATGATTTTTTTTCCTTGAAAATTCTGAAGTCGAATTGGAGCCGTGTTTTCATTTTATTCATATTTTTGAGACTTTTTTCTTTCAATTTTGCGCTGGAACTGCCCAGCACCTTTGCCGGGCAGGCCTACCCGGGTGCGATCTGGGCCTGGGGTCCAGGCCGCATGGACCATAACATAGATTTTGTCCAGGTTTTGCCATGGGATTGGTAAACATGGAGACGGAACGGAACCAGTATTATGCAGTGATGCCCATCACCAACAATAAAAAAGAAAAGCAAAGAAATCAAAAGAAATCAAATGCAAGAAAAATGAGAAATAGCGACATTGCAGACTTCCAGATTGGAAAATCACATTGATAGCCTGATAGTTCAAAGCTGTCGTCTAGAAAGGAAAAACATACTGATATCACACCGAAGGAGAACCAAAGCAGCGATCCCAATTGTCAATGAAAGCATACACGCTCCACCACCAACAATGTCCTCGAAGCTCTGCCTCCTACTTGGCGCTCAGCACCCAGACTACGCTCTCACAACTACCATGTTAGCGTATCCTAATGACGAAGCGGCCCATTGACATCAGCAGCAGCGACCACAGTTGACCATGCAGACCTCCGCCAGGACCAGGTACGTACTCTCACATCCTCTCCCTTCTCTTGCCCTCTCGTGCTCACCAGCATCTTCTCCACCCACGTGCCATCTCAATCCGAAGACCACCACCGTACCCTGCTGACTTTGTCCAAGCCCAAGCCTGACTATGGGGGCTTGAGCGGCGCCCTTCCTTCTCGTGACTGGGCTCGCACTCATGCACCCAGCGCATGGTCAGCAGGCGCGAGCACTCGCTCCAGCAGCGTCAGAAATGAACTTTTTTTTTTTGAATTGGCACTTCATCCACCCACATTTTCTTAAGTACAGCCTGGCCTCAGAAAAAATAAAATGAAAAAAACTCAAGGTGAGCCAACCCACCCAAGTGTTTTTTAGAAAATTTCCTCCCACAGCCGACCCGCCAGTCACTCGTAAAAGACGTTCACCCTGACCCACCCGCACTCGCGAGAACAAGATTACCTGCCTGCACGGTACCTAACGATTTTCCACCTGCACCCGCTCCTTCAAAGATTTCCACACACCATAGTACCAAAACGACATCCTTGGATGACGACGCGAAAATTTGAAGCATCCCCACCTCGCGCCGTCCTTGGACGACGGCGTGAAAATCCGAAGCGCTCCACAAGTTTGAGCGAACCTTGCTACCTGTTGTGGTTAGGTTCGATCCCCGTTGATTTAATAGGAGCTAACATCCTGCTGTTAGGCCGTGGTCCAGCTGCCACCGGTAGAGCGCCACACATTTTTACGAGGAAGATCGCAAATTTTGATTTGCCACTGGCACGACTCCTGTTTTTTTTAGGACCACAACTTTCTTTTTCCAGGGGCCCCTAGGATGGACATGGTCCGTTTCCTGCGCCTCCAACTTTTGAAGTCCACAGTTGGACCATAGCTGGAAAATATGTACGAGAGGGGGGGGGCGGGGGGGTTCCTAGGTCTGTGATCGGGTGACCCAGGCCTAGCTCTCACCCGCCTGCCACCCACCCATTCGGGTGAGCCAGGCCTAGCATTGACCCGTGCGTCACCCACCCAGGCTCGCTCGCTTAGACCCACCCTCATCCCACCGATTCCAGTTTATCAAGACCCACACCTGACCCAATGCCTCGTGGGTGGGGTGGATGCGGGTGGGTGTGGGTTGCTCATCTCTGAGCAGTGCTGCTGCTCGCACCACCAAGTGCCCGAATGTCTCATCCAGTGGCGAGCTCTTTCCGAAATGGAAAGTGCTCGCCCGCTTTACTGCTGGCCCGGGCTGCGCGGGTGCCCTCTAGCTTCGAGTTCTGCCAAAGTGTCTGCGCCCAAGCCCTTTCAGACAGTGGCCGGGACCAATTTGGTAAGGAGTGCCTAACCACCCAGGCACAAATGTGTGGTGTTCCCTGTGTTCTTGGAAGAGCCTAGAAGGCTCACGAATATTTCTGATTCTCACGAGGAGGGCGGATGTAACCAACTCGCATGTGGTAGCTGTCTGGCGCTCACTGCACCAAGACTTGCAAAATTGAAAAATTCAGGCCTCATTCAAGTTGAGATTCAGGGGCCTGCCTTTACTTAGGGTGGGCACATACTTGCTGTCAGGGGCCCTCAAGAGCATGCCGAGGATCAAAATCCTCGCAATCCCCCCTCCTTTACTTCGATAGTCCTCTGAGAAGTCTTCAATCAGCAGCTTCCCTTTCAATCTTCTCTCTGAGTCATGTCTTGAGATCACCTGAGGAGCAGTCCTCGTTAGTTCTTCTCTTGTGAACCACCGGTCTTCTTTAGGATCAATATGATGTCTGAACTGCACTCTGTACTGTATCTGTGGTTCCGGACGGCTTTCCCCTGCCTGGAGGCTTGGGGCACAGGCATCAGCTTGTGCTCAGCTATGTCGTCAATGTCCACGTGTCCGTCCATGGTTGGGGGCAGCATTGATCTCCTTGAAGGAAACAGACAAGTCTGTGCAAAAGGAGCCAGTTTGGAGGCGTGAAAAACAGGGTGAGTACGAAAGTGGCCAGGGATGCGAATGACATATGAGGCCCCGTCCAGTTGATCCCCAACTACGTCCAAAACTTCCCACGCACCGAAGTATTGTGGCAGCAGTTTTCCAGATATTCCCGGTTCCTATCCCAGCTTATATGACTTAACCCAGACCCGTTCTCCAACCTGAAACGTTGACGGATGTCTGTGCCTGTTCTCAGATGCAACCATGCCATCCTGTTTTTTTTTTATATGCTCGACAGCCTGCTGCAGCAGCTGTTCAAACTTTTCAGCAAATTCTATGCTGCCTGGTGCTGCAGTGGGCCGGTTGTCCGGCAGTAGGAAATCAATTGCAGATTCTGGCTTCCAACTGAGATGTAGCTGGTTGGGAGTCGCGCCCCGATGGTGTTGTACAGAGCGTTGTTGTATAGGCTGGAGAAGAGAGGTAACTTCTCATCCCAGTCTTCTTGGTTGGGCTTAATATAATGTCTCAGCAAATGTTGCACTGCCCAGTTCATCTGGTCTGCCCGTTTGACTCAGGATGAACTCGTTTGCAGCTGGGTTCCCATCTGTTGGGCCGTACTTTGCCACAGTTCGCCAGTGAACCTAACGTCGCTGTCGCTGACAATGGACTTAGGAAGGCCAAAGTCACGCACCCAATTATCCACAAACAGCTTTACTACATAGTCGGTCCTAGCGGTTTCAGGCATGGCGATCAGTCTAAAGCG